AGAAAAGAGTCCATACAGATGCCCAGTTCCGTCGCAGTCGATCAAGTCACGATGCGTCAATTCATGGTTGGCATGTTTCGGATCTTCCAACTCAATCGAGATCGCCTGCTTCCGCAATTCTTTCATTTTGGAGTCTCTACCTTGATGAGGCTAACCTGTGGGGGCGAGGGCTCTGAACGTTCTCCTGACCTGTTTGGTCCTTCTTGGGCAATAGTGAAGTGGCGTGCAGAGGGTATTGCAATGCCACAACATGACTGGTTCCATCAAGACAGAGAAAAGGAGCTTGAGGCTTGCGGCCTTCCGCAGTCTATCATCATCCCTTTGCATTCTTTGCCAAAACACATGCCTTGCATTCTGTCACGCATGGCCAGTTGACTACAAGGAGCTGATTCTTCCGTGATTTCGCTCGCGTGCCTCCCAATTAAACAGTTCAAGGCTCGTGCATGTTGGAGCTTGAATTGACCAAGATCGTTACCTCAGAGATGCAGCAAAAGAATCCGGGCTTTTACCTCAAGACTTGTTGATAACACTGGCCAATCGTCAAGCCCGTACCATCAGCAGCGACACTGTTGGAAAGTGATTCAGTTTCTTGCATATTGACAAATCCGGCTAGTCAGATTCATGTTTTCATGTTTGAGACGGCATTTCTGCAATATGTCTGCAACATTTTCTGTTTCATGCTTGCTGTCCTTAAAGTAGGGCCTTTTTAGAATTCTTAAGTACGGTGTTCGGACAGTAGATTTGTTCAATGCTCCACAACGTGCAAGAGTCAGCCTCAACCATTTCCTTGAGCCCATTTTTCTCCTTGGGGTCAAGGAGATTCTTTTTGGGTTGTCAAGCTAGGTCTCTCTTTCTCGCATCGCCGCTAATGAAGTTGACTCAAAGAAAGTCTTCGAACTGGTGATCAAAGGACTGGGACGCCCTTGAGTAGCTTGCAGTTCTGCCCATGGGGCTCATGAAAATAAATACATATAAAAGCAATTATAAAAAATACACAATATAAACAATATGTATATATACATACATATCATACATTATACATATATTATACAAATGTGCAACTTGTTTGCCACACTTGGAAAGCATCCAGACGCTTTGTTGTGAAGGTTTGCCCAGTTCCGCTCTCCCTGATTAGTGCATTAGCCTGGCTGCGAAGTCTGCCCAGCGTAGAAAAGGTCCAGCATTGATCAGAACCTGTGGCGCCAACAAATTATATAAGAAGATTCTGAAGTACTCTGGCAGGTTTTCAAGTGATTCTTCAAAACAAGACTAGTTGCTTACATTCAAAGGCAGATCTCGAGCACAGGCCTTTGACCTCTTTGACACTGACCAGTCCGGTGAGATTGATCTCAAAGAGCTGAAGGTGGGCTGGAGCCGGTGGAGCGGATGGAAAAGGGATGTAAAGGCAATGCAAGGGATGAAAGTTGGAAATCCTTTCGGTTGACCATCGGACCAGGGTGCAGTATTTTGGACCGGCCACGGTTTCTGCAGAACGACCACGGTTTCTGGCGAGAACCGTGGTGCACTGTAATATTGCATATTCTGTGCCAGGCAGCGATGCAGTCTTTGGGCTATGAGAGCAAGAATGATACGCTGCACCGGCATAACTTGGCATGGAAGTGGTTTGAAGCATGTCAGATGATCAGAGCAACATCTTGGCTTTCTTCAGAAAGGTAACAGATCAAATTAAATGTGGTGCTGCAGGTAGTTGGTTTATTACCAGTGACGGTGATCACTGTGTTCAATGCCAGAGCAAATTGCATTTACCTGCAAACCAGGATCTTCACAATGCTGGCTGAGCTTGACAAGGAGCTATCTCAGACGCTTTTCCTTTTCACCTTGCCACTTTCCATGAAACTCTTTTGGTCCGACCTTGACAGGGACAGGGGTCAGCATAGAATTCAGAGAATGACAGTGGGGAAGGGCGCCTGCCGAAGAAAATCGTTCTTCACAGTCTAGGTTGAAAGGAGATGATACACTTCAGCAACCTTTGCACTTCGGAGGATGGCAATGCATCGCTAGATTTTGAGGAGTTCTTGGACTTGATGCCAGAGCCTCGACGGACCTGACAACACAAAACCATCAAGTCGTCCCGTTTTCACAACCTGTACACATCATGTACTGAAAATGATGTGTCAGTTGTGGTTTCAATTTGGGCATTCAGTGATGGTCGTAGCGGCAGGGGGGGAAAGCGTACCTTCCGAGTTCAAGAATTGGTCGAAGTCGGCAAACTGTCGCTGTGGAGCAACTGATGTGTCCTGGCCTGTCCCTTGCACAGGTCGGGGAAGGAGGGAAAGGAGGAGAAAGATACCAAGGAGAGGATACTGTATAGCATATACCTGAAACATCCTGAATTGTGACTCTGTATATCCGGCTATGTAGCAAGAACATGTCACTCGTTGCCCCTTTTACTACCAATCAAACATGTGGAACATACACTGTGGTTTGTCGAGTTTCATTGCAATACATATCGAATCAAGTCACCTTACGTACTTGTTAGTTACCTATGAGGCGAGCATGTTGATTCGTGCATTTTACATATGATCTATACTTTATATAATTACTGAATAGTGTGCAAAAAAATCAACAAATCAGGGCAGATGCCGGTTGCCTAGCGGCTTTGCTGGTATGCCAACAGGTCGAAGGGACCTTAGACCTTGACAAACTTGACAAAGCGTCCAACGGCAGGAGGAGATCGACAAGATCTTTAGACTCTTCGACACAGAGGGAAAAGGCTTCATTGTCAGGGCCTTCATCCTTTGCTTCTTATGCCAAGAAAAGTATGCAGTTCTTCAATACTTGATTCTTGTCCATTGAGCAAACAGTAGGTTGTCGCTTTGCAGTGGATTTTAAACTGTGATCTGAAAGCTTTTGTAAGGAAGTGAAAGATGTCCAAAAGGCCAGACTGAGATGACTGGGGCAAACAAAGCACAATCACAGATTAAGTGGATTGGCTCAAATGTAGCGATTTCAGGGGCTTCCTCCTCACTTGGGACTTGTCAGCTGATACACGGCCCATCTGATCCATTGCCTGGTATTTGACTTTGGCTACGTTGCGCTGCCGCGTTACCGGACTGCCAGGTTTGCAAAGAGCTAGGGGAGCGGCTCACCAATGAGGAGATCACAGAAATTGTGCGAAGGGCATGCCAAGACGAGTCAACTGCTTAGTTGCAAATATCGAATGCATGCTTTCTAGTCCCAGCCCCTTCACAAATAGACAGTTCGGAGACTTCTGCAGATGCTGCGGATTCAGGTCGAAGGGTGAAATCACGCAAGAGGACCGAGAAAAGCAGCAACTGTGCAAAGAGGAGAATGCCAAGGATATGTATATATAATATATACATATATATATATAGAGGCATATTAGTACGATCACGATATATTCTGAACAGTTGACTTTTGAAAGGGAACTGACTCGATTCAAGGCCTAAAAAAGCAGACCTGCTGTTCACATCTCGCATCGACATGAAACTAAGTATGCACTCCTTCGTGATAAGATTGGCTGCCAGGATTTCTACATCGTCATGACAAAGAAGACTTTCCCATAAGCGGTTGGTCTTCTGTAGTTCGAGCCCTTCAAAGAGTTCACGGCGGCAACAACAGCCCGGCAGTGATAAACTTGAAAGGCTCCATGCGCACAGTTGGCCGTCTCTTTGAAATTTCAGGGTTAGCTTAGTCAACTTCGCTGCCTGTCTCGCACCACCTGACGGATGATCCGGATCATGCCTGGAAGGTTTTCACTGTTGAGCATGCGCTTGTGTCTCGGGGGCCGACCGTCAAACCGAGATCACTGAGGTATATAGTTTGAACCTTACAATAATAATGTAGCAGCTTCTGGACAATTGTGAATGAGATTCTGTGTCCCCACGGTTTGCATTTACATGCTTTGGCACTGGACACATGAACGCTGTTGGTTTTTGTCCCCAAAAGAATAGACTTAGTGCTTTCAACACGCTTTCAACGGGTGACTAGGAGATCTGAGAATCCGTTGCATTAAACAGGCCTTTCAAAGGCATTTCACCTCGGCGCTTGTTCCATATTGTGTGTCCTGATATGGTCTTATCATATCTGTGTGGTCCGATGTATTTTGTGGGGCACTTTTGTTGGGAAATCACTTCAGGAGCTTTTCGAAACAGTGCCGTGTTGCGTTTCCTCCGTCAGCGTCGTTCTCGCACCGTGGCGTTTCACCGTAGCGGCTGCAAACTCGCAGACCTACGCAGACTCGCAGACCGAAACATCGTGTGGCGGTTTATGGATGAACTGGAGCACTCGGTTGACAGTGCTTCTCCTTCCTCGTGACCGTCATGCTGCCTTTGCGGCCTATGCTTGAAACTGTTGGGCTGGTTTGAATGCACTAACCGACATGGACAGGAGTCTTCACATGTCCCACAGATCTTGCACTTCCCTTATTTGATGTCAGGGTGCGCAACAAGCAAGAGTGATCAGATTTAGGACACATTTGTTCAATCTTGCTAACATTAACTTCTGATTGACCCTTGCTCACTAGAGAAGTTAGTTAAACATGTTTACACTTGCGTATGCAGCCATTTTGGCAAAGCCGCCGTAGCATGGACTGTGCGCAAGTAACAGATGCGAGATTCCAAACAAAATCAAACAACACCTTCTTGCAGACCAGCTCTATGACCTATGGATACAAATATCAATTTGACACCGACATGTTATAATGCATGGGTATTTTGGGGTCACCATGGGTTATCCAAAGAACCTTTGAAGCACCTTTGCATTGTTTTGCGCTGGAGATTGTTTCCCCTCGCAGTTGAGCTGCGGGAAGCTGCAGTGCAAGTTGCGAAGGGGGGTAGCTCAAATTAACTCAACACTTGGGTCAGAGTCATAGTACCTCAAGAGATAAGTTTTCCCATTGATGTTTATTTTTTTTGGTGGACACTTTAAAGCATCATCAAACACACTCATCCACTGCAAATAGCATCTACTACATCCAGCTGAGCTTATATATAAATATATTTTTCGAGAATGAACATAACTTGTGCGCGACACATCCAGCTACCTCTTGCTCTGCTCAATGTCCTTCCGTGTATTCGTGCGGTGGGGTGGCCGAGAAATTCACGAGGAAATCGACAGTGCCAGACCTGCTTCGGCGACGAATGTCTTGGACCTCATAAGGACAGGACTTGTTCTCATGTAACAAACGAAGCCAGTATCTGTCTACCATGCCAGAGTTCAATGCAAGGATCAAAGAACAATGCTTCTGTATGTCATGACTGTGGACTGTGCTCCATGCACAAGCTTGAACGGATACACATGATATTGTTCAGCCGCTTTATGCAGGAAAACATGGGGTCTTCCCTCAAGCTTCTTCACATTGAAGTGGGGCGACGGCGATGGCACAATTCTCTGTGGGTCAGAGTTATTGCGTGAATTAAGCAACGGCAACTTTGGAGCATTTTTTGTTTCTTGCTCTTTTGTTTAGAACATGGTTTGCGTGCGTTGTTCTGTTTGTGTTTTCCTACTGCGTTTTTTTGTACATAGTATATACAGCAAAGAAGACAAGGAGGCTAATAGGCAGAGAAGCAACCACTCAACGAAGGAAAAGAGGAAGGAAGAAGGAAGGACGATACCAAGCAGAGAAGGGTAGCATTGGGCAGCTAGCACGTAAGGATGTCCAGAAGCGCTCAGACAAGCCTTTGGCTCTTGTTGCAAGACACCTTCCGCTCTTAAGACTCACCATAATCGGTTGCCCCGCTCTCGGTATTTAACATTGAAATGCCCGCCATGCCACCACTGACCCAAAGAAAAAAGTTATTTGATTGATTGGTTTTTCGGTGCCTATTTTTATGCAGCGTTGGTTACTTGGGACTTTACCGTGGCAAGGCGCTCTCTCCCTCTCGCTTCCCTTGCTGCGTTTGGACTCAGCGTCGCAGTGGTCCGAACAGCTACAGTATCATGCGCTGGTGCAAATACTAGCAGCGCATGTGACCAGTCATGTGACCGTGTCCAATGCATTTTAGCAAGTTTAGTGTTCACTGCAGTAATTTGTGTGTGGCGCACCGGTTTTTCAAATGATATTTTTGTTTATTTACTGTATTTTGTTGCAGTCCTTCCAAAGCTGGAAGCAAGCTCTCAATGTGCACCCTGCTCTCCTGTGCTCCACCGATCCTTTACTCCTAGCTCTCTGGCTGCTGCTTTGAAGCTTTGGAGATGTGCTGGTGCAAAGGGTCCCGAATGTTAAAGTTGCTGTGCTGATCAATTATGTTCCTCAAACCAACCAGCTGGAGAATTCGGCACGTGAAGCATCATTGTGCATGCAGCATCTACGTAATGCCAACGGATCTTGAGAACTGGATGGAAATATGAAGAAAGGGCTCAAGCATTAGTCATTAGACCCATTAGACAAGTCCTGTAGACGATGTGATGTTTTGGACCTCCTCGGAACTGTTGAGGCGAGCGCGAGCAACCACTGAAATTCACTGTAGAACCCGAGATCTCGGTGATGGAAAACTTTGTGAAGGCACTGCACAGTGATTTGGCGGCGGGAGCAGACGCTCCAGCTACTTGGCAGAACTCTGTGACTTGTGTTGATTTCCAAAATATCTTGTGTAATGTTGGGCATGCGGCACGCAGACTTTGTTGATCCTTGCCGATTTATATTTTTCACAGTTGCGCCAGCTATTTGGTTGGTGGCACCAAGGTGGACCTTGAAGAAAGGCTCAAAGTAGTTGATGCCATCAAAGATTGTGGGGAAAATCTGCGATGCGCCGAGTTGATGACTGAAATGGAAGCCCTACGGCCGTAATTCTGCGCGACTGCGTGTCGAGCGGATTTCTTTTCGACTTGCTTTTTTTCTTGGCCGCCTAGAGGCCGAGTGCCTCCGAGGCGACTTGCGACTGTTCCAATTACTGTCATGACTCATGACTGCAAGGAGACGGTTAATGATGAGTGAATTATCCTGGAAAAGAACCGGACAGAGGCAACATGTCAACATGCTTGATTTTGCTTGATCGACTGACTGTATGTGTGGTTTTTAATGCTTTTTCAGTTTTCAGTCCAACAAGATTCGACAATGGTAGCTTGTTGATTGTTGTGCTTTGCTTGTGATGTGTGTGGAACATTCACTTCAAACCATGATGACAGTTGCAATTTGCTTGCAGCTGGGAATGTGGCAAGCACACTACCACGGTGGCAAGTGGCGTAAACGTAACGGTCGGACATTTCACGCTAGAGACGGACATTTCACGCTGGAGATCCTTCAAGCTCAAGGGGACATGTTTTCGATGAACAATTGGCATGGCATATTCAATATGGGGTGGTCCTTTTGGACGCGGCCTTTGAGTTGTGAATCCTTGTGAATCTCAAAGAAGGGACTGCAATTTTCAGCAAGACGCGGCACTGGGTGCTATTATGTGCTATTAAACTGGCAAGACAGCCAAACTTTGTTGGCAGAACTTAAATTGGAACATGCACTGAAACTTCATCTCAAGCAAACATTTGTTATTGCTTCCAACCCTTGCACCTTTGACGCGGGCATGGCCTGGACACCATGGTGCGGGGTTCAACGACCGGGCTGGGGAACCTAAGTTTATCCCGAAAACACATGGAGTTTGTTGGCTTAAATTAAACTGGAAAACTCAAACATACATGGAGCTCAACGACACTGCCCGAGGGTCAAGGTGTTGCCACACTGATGTATCGCAATACTCAGTAGTGCCTTCCACTGTTTTTTCTTCTAATGTTGTGATTTCACCCAGACAGCCAAGAGTGGTTGCAAAGAACTTGGTCGCCTCATGCTGTTCCAACGGTTCGTGTCTTCCATGAGTCACAAGATTAGCATTGGTGATAGTCAACCTGATGATTTCTGCAAAACTTCAGCTCGTGGTGTGAGGCTCATTCGGCCTGCCGCTCTTGGAGTGCTTTCAGGATTGGTGGTGTTGGTCCTGCTGCAATCAAAAACACAGGACGCTGGGCATCGTGTGGCACAAAAGGCAAACGGAAAGAATGTGGGTCCCTGTGCTGCGATTTCGGTTCCACATATGTCGCAATGACACAAGTCTTCAATGGAGCACCAAAAGAGAATCTTTCGCCTTGTGGGCTTCAGACCCTGTTTGTAAAGCTGTGGCTTTGTGTCGAGGAGAAACTGTTCAACACCTTGCAGCCCGGTTTACTGGCGCCACTTTGCGGCACGGCAAACAATGTGCCAGGATCAACACATAGTGAATGCCAGCAGAACCATGCAGTTTTGCGGATAATTTAGCAGCTTTGAGACTTCATATTTACCTTTATACTGTCTATTTGTTCCTTTTTGCACAGGGTTTAGATCCAGCTGCGTCGCTGCGTGTGTGCGTGTATCTTTTGTGAGGGAAGATGGCAAAGATTGTTTGGCATGTTATTTTTTCTCTCCGAAACTGTTGCAGGCTGACACCACAGGCTCCAAGCAGAGAGGAGGGCAGAAGACATGCAAACGTTGTAATTTCAGTGTGTTGATCCAGATACTGTATCTAAATGACATTGTGCGAAGCTAATTATTGATTTTGTTTTCCAGTCAAAAGAGAATGTTTGCATGCAGGAAAGGCCGTCCAGAACTCTTCGGCCAACCCCGGTGACGTCCCTTTCCAGCGTTCTATGCGCATGGCGGATGGGAGTGTGGTGTATACTGTAAGTGTACCCACCTCCAATGTGTGTTTGTCACAAGTCTATGATGCTGCATACATGAGTTGTAGACGAAGGAACCTGATAATTATGATAAATGTCTCAAGCAAGGTAATAGTGGACCGGACCACCCTCCCAAGAACTAGATCAAGAAGCTGGGCTGCCAGCTGCACTTCTTGCTTACCATCAGAATCCCTGTGGTGAACTCTGAGGCCCTTGCCTTCAGCTACCAACGAGGCTAGGGTGTTTTGATGCGTCCTGATGATTTTTTGCACCAGAAACGGTTGACACTTGCTAGCGAATGAACTTAAACATATATAGCCATACAGTCCAGTCAGTCTGTGTTGTTGGATGTGCTCATGTCCCACTAGCATAGCTCAAGGTCAAAGAAACCTTGGGGAGCACCCCTAGCGATGAAGAACGTCGCGTGCTGGAGGTGGTGAAGAAGAGGGCAGGAGTGTA